ACAGTAACGAACAGCATTCAAAGTGCCAAACTCTCCCTCCGATCGAAGAAGATCAAGCACAAGCAGTTTTCCAGTGACATTGAATTTCTTCGCTTCTAATTTGTTTGGCACAAGCCAGTGAGAGGTTTTATGCTGAATAACATCAGAAAATGATGAGTTGAACGACGCAGTGTAATACAGCATCTGCGATACATGGACTACCTGAAGTTTTATGTGAAATAGATGAAAGAGCTGAATAACATAATCCAAAATCGCGAATTTTGCTGGGAAATATCCAGATAAAATTCAATTAGGATAAATGTGCTATGATCGAGATTAAGAAAGAGTGTGCTACCGACTGAAAAATAAGGCTTGGAAGAAGAGTCTTACAAATACCTGAAGACATAAGGACGGAATCCGATAACAGAATTCGCTGAATCCTGAAGAGCAAGTTGTACGGGAAGAACAAAATTGTGGCCAATAAGCAGTATGCAGTACCAGTGTTTGCTTCTACAAGAGGCATCGTCGAACTGGGCGCAACTAAGAAGGCTAAAACTGAATAGAAACGCAAGAAGGATTTGGAACAGATACGAGATGGTACATCCGTAGTCAGGTACGAACAGATTTTTATATCTGGGCAAAGAAAGAGTTCAAGGGCTTCGTAGTATCAAAGGTACGCTTGAACTAGAAATGCCATCCGTAAGGCAATATCTGGCAACGATAGAGTGCTGAGGGCTGTGATAGGTTAAAGACCTGTGCAAACTAGATGCAGAGAATCATAAGATAAATGCATATAAAGCCCGATACAATGGCTGGAAGAAACGGAGCTCAATGGACAGTATATTCATCGACTCGGTGAAGATATATACATTCACCGAACTTTCAACAGTCTACCAAGGAGTGGACTCCATGGCGAAACGGATGCGCTTCTACTGGCTGCGCAAGACCAAGTACTGAACAGAGTTCATACATTACGAAGATCCTGCCCATTCAGTGAGAAGCAATATGGTAGAAAAAACTAAATGCGGGCAAAAATTATTGATATAGCATGCCCGGCTGACTGCGACGTTGTTGTTACGATGAGAGAACGGGTACTGAAATACCAAGAATTGAGAATGATATGAAATTTCTGGAGAGTACAGGAAGAATTCATTCCTGTGGTGATCGGTGCCCTCAGAGCCTTAACGAAATCATTAATTCCTGCTAATGTCAACTAATGAAGCGATGGATGCGGATGAAGTTCAGAAGGCGACGCTGTTTGTAGTAGCTAGGATTTTAAGATGAACACTGGAGCTCTCTGACCTTCGGTAGAGGATTTAAGCTGAAATGATGCTCTTGCCACTGGTGTTATATTTCACAATGTGATTGATGTGATGAACGAACAGCAATTAAGCCGTGAAAATTTCCCATTTGTACGAATACCAAGCCAGTTGTAAAACATGAAACTACTATCCTAGCGACCGGAAAAAAATTAACTACGTAAATGAATGATTGAATGAAGCATAACTGTTGCATACAAATCAGCTACCGTAAAAAATTTGAAATTATATGCAGGTTAAGCATCGATATTATCGTACATTGAGTTCAAGAAGCATATCTAACAATTTACATAGTAAGGAGTAAACGAAATTATAATACACCATTATTTCAACGGCAGACAGAATTCACTTCGTAAAGCAGGAATTTCTCGAAGGCTTCGCCCTTCAAGCCTTTTACCATTCATTACTTGAACAGAACAAGGGTAATCGATGTTCGCATGTTTTGTTACGTTCTAGTGGCATTTTGACAGAACCACTTTTGCAGTTAAGTTGTCAGTGATTTCACTTTCTGTTCAGGAATAGATGGTGACTACTTCCTTTTCTGTGCCTTTCACAAGCACGACCTGGCCAAGCCCTTCGGTCAGAGCTTCAATGAATTCCATATCTGCAAAAAATAGTTTAGCCCATAATCCACATGTAAAAGATTTTACAGAATTCGTCTGATACGCCATGTTTCGGTTCAGGCAGGGTGATGAAGACCAGTTCAGATTGACATGACCGACTTCGGATAGCAGTGTTTAGCTTGATGGCCGTTTCCATGCAACGTAGGTTATACGAGTGGAAACCGATACCTTCAACTTTGGGTATCTTTGTGTTGGTTCTGGCTGTAGTAATGATTCCGGGGTTAGAAGTAGAAAAAAATGTTTGAACCGGCGCCTAAATGTAAGTAAGCGCTACTATCTAAAGCTTAAACAAGTTTTGTTCAAAAATTGAAACTACTGTTTGCGAGATTTGGCTGTTTCGAGGTTTAATAACGCACATGATAATTTTTTTCAGTAACGTGGTTCGAATCAGAGTAATGGAAAGTACGTACCGAAAACTTTCTTAGATTCATTTTGGGCGGTTTGGCTGTGATTAAGCTTTCCTGGCTTTCACAACTTTCATTTGTGTTGCTTCTTACTAAATTCGCTCTTCTACCGAAGTCTTGTGGTATATATGGCAAGTTGCCGAGCTGGTCTTCCTTCTGAAAAGAAAAGAAAAGTGACCCTTACGAAAGTCGCTTTAACCGTTGGCAAAATAAACAAACCATACTTCAACGTGTTTGTTAGTTGTATGTTTTTGTTCTACTCTTCTTGGGCTGGTTCATCTACTACAGTACTGAAGTGACTACTACACCACTAAGGTAGTGAAAGGATCATGAAAACTGTTCAAGCATAAGTTTTTTATTCAACATGGCTAAGAACGTTTGAAGCACACCAGTTGCTGATTTTCTGGTATAGGCGAATATAGGCAGACGTGATCAGATCAGTATGTAACTATAGCGGTGAGTGAAGCAATCAGCAGAAGACAGCCTCATACCTCACGAACTGCAGAGACCAAGATTGCCTAGAACATCCACGAGGTATGCTAGTATCAAAATAAATAAGAAATTTATTTCCTTGCCGTCACTCGCAACCTTTGCAGTTACCTTTGATAGGCGTGCAAAACCGACTTTCAACATGTAAGAGAATAATGTCTTACCGGAACCTTCTTCTGACGATGGGCAGCGTTGAGCTCACGCATAAATTTCAGCCGCTGTTCCATCTTTAAAGTGCGCTCGACGCTCGTCGCAGTGACATCTTCGCTTTGGTCATAAAAGCAAAACGTATAAAATTTCAAATTGATAACCACAACTGTTTTCTAGTATTTCAGGCGAATTAGAGTTATTCTAAGAGAGAAGGAATTTATCGTTCTGAACGAGCAGTCGATTTTAAAAGTACCATAACATGTGAATTTACGTTTTGGGTATGGAAGTTACGGTCAACTGGTTAACTT